GTCCAGCATCTTCTGCCCCGGTCTTCCTCTGCCCCCACCCCTCCCTCTTCCCCCCCCCCCCTTCCCCCCCCTACAACTTTCCCACAGTCACGATTTAGACGATCAAAGAATGTAGAGTGTAAGTTGTTCAATCCAGCCATGATGGTACAACCAACGACCAACACCCGGTTACACAAAGTGCCACCATTCCCAAAAGGATCACATGGGCACAAGTTATATAAACCCTGTTCAACCGTTAGGTGGGGCTTTAAAATCACGAAAAATTGTGTACAATATTCGAACGTGATTCTATTCAATTAATTGGAAAAAAAAATCTAGAATGTCTGAATGGATGGAGCAATAATCAGTTTAACAAAGGTTTTACAAATTAGTCACAAAACATTTGGATTCCTATGCGAAACAAGCTGGTTTCCGTGCGCCAGAAAGTCAGTAAAGTACATACTACTTGCCAGGCTTCATGTGGTGCTGCGGGCTTATGATGGTAGACTCATATTCTGTATAGAGCAATCGACACTAAAAGGATGATTTGATGAACATCAGAGCTAAGTAAAAGTAAAGTAAAGGCGTACATGACATATAGGGCTAGATCTATATTTTATAGACCAATCAGCACAAGATGAGTGATGTGGTCAGCATCAAGCCGGTCGCCTTTACTTCCAGGGACTGCACCCGATACCCACTGAAGGCTGGGTCGACCGGGGAGCCAAGGTCATTTTTGAAAAATGTCCAGCTCCGCCAGGGAGCGAACCCACAACTTTCCTATTGGTTTTGAGCGTCTAGTCGCTCCACCACGGCGACTCCCGAACATCAGAACTACCGCCTTAAATTTCCAGAACATGTCATGTTACCCTATAACAGACTGGGCCCACTAGGAAACCCTTGACAGTGATAAAGAAACCCTAACCTGCTGCCGAATTCCAGCCCAAGGCGTTCTGACAGAAAGATCGGGTTCCAGGTCCTGTTAAAACTAAACAGTACAGAACAACTACACAGGACACTATTTTGTGTAAGCATCCTCAAGTAATTAACAATGACCTGAGAAATTGGATTGCTGCCCCTGTATTTGTGTTTCATTAGTTAATCGTGGTCTTTTATTTATTTACATTGCAACGTGTTGCATTCTTCGCATACCTCTAGGCTGGCAACGTTACTGTTGCACTGACATAGACATTGTTTGACAGCGTTGACAATCGTTAGCCCATCATTGTAAAGTATTCCTAGAATATTCAACGTTGTATAGCTTTAATCTATTTCCTCTTTGTGTTCATCGATTGTAAACTACGCCAGGAGTTCCTGACAATTCGCCCACTTACAGACTTCATTCTTAATCAACAATTTGAATTTAGTGTGCGCGTAAGTTTTGCAGATCAGCATATTTGTTTGCATTTTGTTGGTTCCTTGACTCTCATGGAGATGCACTCCTATTTCGAAGAACTATCTTAACTATGCTGGCAAGGACCCCAGTTTGGAACATGTCACCGGGACGATCCAGCGTTTGTCTGACTTATTGCATTCAATGTAAAAGTCTAGTCAATGGTCTTTGTTGTCAATGGGATGGCAGTACATGCCGCTGAAGGATTACTAACGCTACGTGTAAAGTAATAAAAAGCATAAGCCATTTCGAGCAGGAAGACTAATGTTCGGTTGCTGGTTTTAAGTGTAGGATGGTAATCGTGTGCGAGAGAGGGATGTGTGATTCTTGTGATATTGTAGTTCATTGTTGAGGGTCTCATACGTTTGGGGTTTATTGTGGTGTGAAATCTAAACATCTCGATGGCTGACACTAACTATGATGTTTTATCGTTAGACACAGTGTGAAATATAAACATCTCGATGGCTGACATTGACTATGATGTTTTATCGTTAAATAGAGTGTGAAATATAAACATACTTATGGTTGCCATAGACGTTACTATTAAACACAGTCTAAAAGTAACGTTGGTTGGCTTAGACTTTACCAGTGAATGTAGCCTGTTCTAGTCTGAAATACGAACACACACGTCGACAGAACAGATATAACACAAGAAGGAAGACAGTTTATTTAAGAAATTGCGGATACCCATCAAGTATATACATACAAACGTTAATAATAAGTGAATAATCCTAATTGCATCATTAGTGCATCGGGCTTATGGTGCTTGACCTGTCTTCACCATACCAATTGGCACTCTTTGGGTTATGACAGTGATTCCCAAGCTTTGCGCCACAGTGACCCGGGAAGCCGCGACCTCTTCACAGGGGCGCCACGTAAAATTTATAGATACACGAGGTTTTTTTTTTTAATCACTTACAAGCGAATATTCACACTTTTCCATAAGTGAGGCCGCCGTGGAAAAAATTGTAATTGAAAACAAATAACAGGCGCTGTGACTAAGAAGAGTTTATGAAACACTGGGTTATGTCGACGGCGTAAGGCTGGGTGCTTTTACAATTCGATGCCCATACTTTAGACAACTTCAACATGACATAATTTAAGGACTTATCAAAATGGAAACGATCCCTTTAACACTAGTGGCTCAATCTGTTACTATAGTTGTAGTGTTATATAAGGTCATCATTTCAATCTGTCACTTTAGTTGTGTAGTCATGTAAGACCATCATCCCAGTCTGTCACTGTAGTTGTTTAGTTGTATAAGGTCATCATTTCAATCTGGCACTGTAGTTGTGTAGTGATGTAAGGCCATCAAGTCAATTTATCACTGTAGTTGTGTAGTGATGAAAGACTATCAACGCAATTTGTCACTGTAGTTGTGTAGTGATGAAAGACTATCAACGCAATTTGTCACTGTAGTTGTGTAGTGATAAAAGACTATCAACGCAATTTGTCACTGTAGCTGTGTAGTGATGTAAGTACAGCAACTCAATTTGTCACTGTAGTTGTGTAGTGATGTAAGGTCATCAACTCCATTTGTCACTGTAGTTGTGTAGTGATATAAGGCCATCATTTCAATCTGGCACTGTAGTTGTGTAGTGATGTAAGGCCATCAAGTCAATTTATCACTGTAGTTGTGTAGTGATGTAAGGCCATCAACTCAATTTGTTACTATAGTTGTGTAGTGATAAAGGGCCATCAACTCCATTTGTCACTGTAGCTGTGTAGTGATGTAAGGCCATCAACTCAATTTGTCACTGTAGTTGTGTAGTGATGTAAGGCCATCAACTCCATTTGTCACTGTAGCTGTGTAGTTATGTAAGGTCATCCAGTCAATTTGTCACTGTAGTTGTGTAGTGATATAAAGCCATCAACTCCATTTGTCACTGTAGCTGTGTAGTTATGTAAGGCCATCAACTCAATTTGTCACTGTAGTTGTGTAGTGATGTAAGGCCATCAACTCCATTTGTCACTGTAGCTGTGTAGTTATGTAAGGTCATCCAGTCAATTTGTCACTGTAGTTGTGTAGTGATGTAAGCCATCATTCCAGTCTGCCACTGTATTTCTGTTGTTATACAAGGAAATCGCCTTAATCTGTTACTGTAATTGAGTAGCGTGATAAGGTCAACGTCTGGCCTTATGCCTGCAACTATATAGCCAGAGAAGGTCATTGACTGGCTCTGTCACTAGAGCTATGTAGTTAGATAATGTAATTGCTTAGATATTTCTATATAGCTAAGTAGCTAGATGAGGTCAATGTTTAGCTCAGTCAATATTAGCTGGTTATCGCCGACCTGCTATACAAATTTCAGAGATTGTCTTCCTTTAATTTCTCCTGAAGCATCACATTAATTACACTGTTTCAGACACACTTAAACAAAAGTGACTACATCCTGCATCGTAGCTAGCAACAATCTATTTGTGTTGCAGAGAATATCTAACCATTGTTCAGCCATTCTCGGACATTTTGAAATATTTTTTGATTCATGTGACAAACTCCTACCCATAAAGGACCATGACATTTTCTAGCACAGAGTTACTAGAATCACCTTCTACAACAGACAGACTCAATGGCATCGACAACAGAGGCTTCCAGAACGTTACCTCCCATGGTGAGTACACAACAATCGTCATCATTAACCACTAGACAGACAGACAGACAGACAGACAGACAGACAGACAGACAGACAGACAGACAGACAGACAGACAGACAGACAGACAGACAGACAGACAGCCAGCCAGACAGACAGACAGACAGACAGACAGACAGACAGACAGACAGACAGACAGACAGACAGACAGACAGACAGACAGACAGACAGACAGACAGACAGACAGACAGACAGACAGACAGACAGACAGACAGACAGACAGATAGATAGATAGATAGATAGATAGATAGATAGATAGATAGATAGATAGATAGATAGATAGATAGATAGATAGATAGATAGATAGATAGATAGATAGATAGATAGATAGATAGATAGATAGATAGATAGATAGATAGATAGATATATATATAGATAGATAGATAGATAGATAGATAGATAGATAGATAGATAGATAGATAGATAGATAGATAGATAGATAGATAGATAGATAGATAGATAGATAGATAGATAGATAGATAGATAGATAGATAGATAGATAGACAGACAGACAGACAGACAGACAGACAGACAGACAGACAGACAGACAGACAGACAGACAGACAGACAGACAGACAGACAGACAGACAGACAGACAGACAGACAGACAGACAGACAGACAGACAGACAGACAGACAGACAAACAGAGAGAGAGAGAGATAGATAGATAGATAGATAGATAGATAGATAGATAGATAGATAGATAGATAGATAGATAGATAGATAGATAGATAGATAGATAGATAGATAGATAGATAGATAGATAGATAGATAGATAGATAGATAGATAGATAGATAGATAGATAGATAGATAGATAGATAGATAGATAGATAGATAGATAGATAGATAGATAGATAGATAGATAGATAGATAGATAGATAGATAGATAGATAGATAGATAGATAGATAGATAGATAAATAGATAGATAGATAGATAGATAAGCCCATCTATGTTCTGCAGGCCCCAGCGAGGAGAGGTCCAGTGCTCCAGCTGTTGTCAAGGACCACACACACGACAACGGAAACGGTGAAACACAACATGGAACAGGCACATTGGAAGTATACGACGAGGACTCGTATTGCGGAATTGGTAGCTGCAGGCCACCTTGTGTGCAGGTATCCGTTTTATTGTATTTATTCACATACTCAAACATATAGGGAAAACAACGGGCTGTTGTTTATCTGTGATCTGGTGCGATGACATACAAAAAGCATACAGGTGTTTAGGTGAGGAAAGGCCGAGAGGGCTCAGATGGAATGATCTGCCGCGGGGGGGGGGGGGGGGGTGGGACTGAGAGCCTCATTTCCATTTAACATTTACTGAATTGAGTACTTAGAGTAGGGGGTGAGTGGTTGGAATTATGTTTAAGTTTTCTTTAAGTGCCTAATAAAAAAAAAAAAAATAATAGTGATAATCATAACACAAAAAAATAGGTGTTCTGGATGGAAAAATGCAAATAATGCTTTATTTAAAATTATACCAAATGTATACTTTAAATAAAAGTTTTATTTAGGGGGGTCGGGAGCTTAGCCTATTTATAAATACAAATTCTTGTAGAGGGGAGAGCTCAGTCACCACCAATCCCCAACCCAGTCTGTGGGGCCCGTAGCTATAATTTAATGTACCCAACGGGAATCTCCGCGATTAAGTGACCAGGCCGTTTGCCGTATGCACTGAAGATCGTGGGTTCGTTTCTTCAGCGACATTTTAAAATAAATACATGGGAATCGTGCTTTTTGCTACGTTGTCCGCAAGAGGCTTGCTGCAGAGAGGCCCAGTCACACGGAATAAAACTCAGTGCAGTAACAGAGATCTCGACTGCCATAGATATCTTAGTTACCTGTCCCAGTTTTATTATTGACATCATTATCAAGTGCCGTGCGTAATAAATTTCGCTTGTCATTTCTCGCTATCGCGCGCAATCGCCATAATCACGAGTGAGGTCAGCGTCCTTATCTCGGCCTATCCATGGTGCTAAGATTTCCAGATATTCCTCCCTTTTCTTCCCCATGATCTCTTTCTTTTCACATTGCCAGTCGCTGTCTAGTTTCTGGTCCATTCCTTCTCATAAAATGTCCGAAAGACTGATTGTCTACTTCTAACTTTGGTCCCAAACAGCTGCTTCCTTAGCAGACTATATATCTCTAGTAGTTTACACAAACACTTTTTTAATAGGCAGAATGAATCAACGAATGGCATAGAGTGGGCTAATGTGATAGAAGAATGGGACAGAAGAAGTATAACATAGATAGAGCGATTTAAAGAAAATTGTTTTGATGGTGAAAAGAGAAACACTTACATAAGACACGGAAATCGTTGGGTACAGAAAGAGCAGTTCCACAGACTGGTCTAACAAGATATGTAGAAACAAGCAGAACATTCTTACAGGAAGGACAACGATAATCGGAATACAACAAACACATGTTAACCCAGTCTTCCGAAGGGACATGTCACTCATAGACAGACTAGGATTCATGTGTTTTTTCAGGCAGCAAAACATAAAAGGTTTTTACAGAAGAAAGAGCAAGACGAAACAGGCTAGAGGGCGGTAAGATTAGTTTCCCTGTAGCTTCGTCAGTTTAGTGTGTGGTGCAGATGACGGTCCAGACAGGGACTAAACATACGCCTACCGGTGGAGACAAAGATGAAGTAGAGGACGGGAGGAGATAATTTGCTTTCACAATCCCAGGCATAACAGGTCAGTTTAATCTAATATACATATTTATATGAACAGGTATGCAAGAACATGACCAGCTTCTCTGCAGCGGTCAGTCTAGCCAGTCTGGTGGCGTCAGCCCTGAATTCTTACATTACGTCACAAGTGAGCCATGTTTGCGTCACTTCCATGTAAAGTAATATGTAACTATCACACATCACTTCACATCAGGCAAAATTTTGTTCCTAACAATATGTAAATATAATACATCAGTAGACGTGGGTACCATGTTAGTGGTAATCAGTATGAAACTATCAAGCATATCACTTCACAGTTAGCCTGCATATGTATTAAGCAATACGTAACTATCATGTATCAGTTAACGCACAGGCCACATTTCTCTTAGGCAATATGTAGCTATCAGAGAGCAGTTAACGTACAGGCCACATATGTGAAAAACAAAATGTAGCTATCATAGAGCAATTAACACACAGGACACATATGAGAAAAATAATATGTAGCTATCGTAGAGCAATTAACGCACAGGCCACATATGTGAAAAGTAATATGTAGCTATCATACATCGATTAACACACAGGCCACATATGTATTAATATGTAAGACTACTGTATTCTGACAAAAGGTTCAAGCCATTTAAATTTTTTTTTCTGAATATATGTGTGTCAACATAAGTGTCTCACTGTATCGGTGTTCAATCGGTCTCTGGTGACTGGTTAGGGGAAGGGTATTTCATTTCCTTGGTGTTGAAATTAATTGTGTGCGATTTAATGGGGAATATAAATAATGCATGTATTTTGTGGTGTCTAAACAGAGCGCTGTAAGATGCATAGTATGGTACGAATATGGTGTTGCTTTGTAGAGATATTTGGGATTTTATTGTGATGAGGACGATGATGAGGATGGTGATAAGCTACAGCGATGATACTAACCACTCTAGCAACATCCTCAGATAACAACCCTTGAGCGACACTTCAACTTTAGCAGCTCCATCAGCGGTTTCTTGTTGTCGTGCAACGACATTGGCTATCTTGTGACCACACTGTTCATGAGCTACTACACCCGACGAGTCCACGTGCCCCGAGCCATGGCCTTGTCCACGGCAATCTACGGCATCTCTGGAATCCTCTGTGCTGTCGCATTCTTTGGTACCCGAGATCAGCTGTCCAGCCCACCCAAGGAGAGTTTTAATGGTAATTTGTTATTATTTAACCTCCCCCCCCCCCCCCCAATTCATTTAAGAACTAACCGTCTCTAATACCTTAAAAGAAGACGTGAATGACCACTAAGTGTGGAAGAAATGAATGGCAAGTTGCAAGAAAGTAAATCGTAAATTTAAAATGCAGTAACAATGAAATAAGAGAAAACAATACTTTATCAAATAGTTAACACGAAATTAAATTTTTTTTTTAAAACAAAATCCAACCACCAATTTTAAAGCACTAGTAATAATAGCATGGTGTGCCTATACAATGAAATCTAAATATCAAAATGTATTAGACGCTGAGCTCAAGGGAGCACAGACAAAGATGGCCAACATTAATCTTGACGCTGAGCTCAAGGGAGCACAGACAAAGATGGCCAACATTAATCTTGACTACAACTGACAAATTATTTTTGGATTTTTTTTAGGTATTTATTCAACATTGGGACAGGTGGATTGTGGGAATTCTCCAAGTGCTTTGACGCCTGTTATTTGCTCTTTACACCGCATCTTTTGTCACTACTATTGCCGTTTACCTTTACTATTATATCTAGTCATAATCTGTGGCGTTATTAGTGTGTATTTTTCTTCGTCTGTCCTACTGCTTGAAGAGGAGTAAGATGTGATTTTCTCCTCTTCTTATCTTAGACACTTGTGTCTGAACAATTTAATCATCTAACGGCTTGCTGGGCCAGTTCTAGAGTCACTGCAAAGACAAAATTTACTATTATTTTTTTTTTTTTTATTTAAAAAAAAAAAACGTATCGAAACTAAACTTATTGAATGTAAAAAGTAAGAAATAAAACAGTCTAACAGGATAAATAAAAATACCAGTATAATAAAACTGTCTTTCTCATATTTAGATACTCGCGCAGACATTGGCAGTCGTGGCTCCCGTGTCTTTGTGTCGCTGGATATTGTAACAAAGCTTGTATGGCTTGTATTACTGTCGCCCATATGTCATAGAACAACCTAAATAGACTACACGCTTTATGCGACATTTAAACTCTCCAACGTGATCTTAACCAAAGCTGCCTTAACATTATGTAGGTCCCTGGGAAAACCAGTGTGGCCTCTTATGGCAAGTCACTGGACATACACAGAACAGCATGTGCTCCTATGCTCCTGGGGCCACAGGAAAAGTGGACAGAGGGCCCTTGCATTAGGGAGGCACGGATTACTACGATGCTTCTACAGCTGATAACGATGACCACATGTTCAATCTGTCCATACTCATATACTTATTTCTCTATTACTCTTGCTTGTTATTTTCTCTCACAGAAGGAATATTTAGGCTCCACTTCATTTCTTTATTTGCCGAAATCTCAGGGCAGATTACAAAACATCTGTCAAAAAAGCTATTTAAAATAATGAGACTGTCTATACTTAGACATGAGAAATTTAGATGTTCGTGTATTACTTTATCACCAAACATGATAACTAAATTGTAAATATGGCTTGTCACTTGAAACTTCGCTCTAGGTCTTTCTCTCTTTTATACTATATTTCTCTCTCGCCTTAGGTCTTTATATACACCTCTTCCTCTATCTCTCTCATCGATTCTTTTGTATTTTCCTGATATTTGAATATACATATTTTTACATGAACATAACATGCTTTATTGATAAAATACAACCTCTGTGTGAATGATGGGAGTTTGGAAGGGCCGAATGTAAGACTGGCAAGCATGCCCAATTGTGACCGCTTGAAAACAAAGTTCGTTCGTTTGTATGTTCTCACATTCTCTTTATCCCTTTTTATACCAATAATGAAATAATTATCTATCTTTCTATACACCCCACTCCGAATACTTCTCTCAGTCGCACACTCTCTACCTCCCCTTCACTTTCACTTTCACCTTCTCTCTCTCTCTCTCTCTCTCTCTCTCTCTCTCTCTCTCTCTCTCTCTCTCTCTCTCTCTCTCATTGAACTCTGTCGATGTATTTCTTTCTTGTTCGCTAATTATGCTGTTAGTTGCCTCTGTACCAGGTGACACAAATCATTATTCCATGAAACATACAAGTAAATAGTCTCAATGGTAAACATCATAATGATGTGGTTTCCTAGAATGGAATGCATTATAGTACAAGCTGAATAAGAGAAAGAGAGCTGCGTGAACACATGACGCTTTGCTTGGATTGAAACATTTGACGATACTAATATTCTGAAATCTGCAGCTCCGGTAGTATTCTTCACCCAGATGTGTCAGAATGCAACAACGGCTGCAAATTTAAGCTGCGGAGACGCTTCGACTGGGCCCAGAACGCCATTCGGGATCACTGAACACTGGAAGCAAATTGCAATTTTTATCCTGGCCTTGGGCATGATTCTACAGGGCGTGGCCAAATCTCCCAGGCAACCGTTCATCATTACTTACCTTGACGACAATCTTCCCAAAACAAAGACCAGCGTATATTTAGGTAAGTACTGTTGGCACCGTCACGTCTTCCATACGACGGAGATTTCCTGTGACTCGCACACGTTAGAAATGCTTCTAGAACTATAGCATGGAGCAGTAAGAGCACTGCTGCCATCGCACCTATATAACATGATTCTTCTGAGACGCTAAGCTGAATATATATCTTTTTCTCATGTATCCACCTATATCTTTTGCTCATGTATCCACACATATATTTTGCTCATGTATCCACATATATCTTTTTCTCAGTATCCAACATATATTTTCTCATGAATCCACATATATCTTTTTCTCATGTATCCACATATATCTTTTTCTCATGTATCCACATATATCTTTTTCTCTTGTATCCACATATATTTTTTCTCATGTATCCACATATATCTTTTTCTCATGTATCCACATATATCTTTTTTCTCATGTATCCACATATATCTTTTGCTCGTGTATCCACATATATCTTTTTTCTCATGTATCCTTATACTTTTGCTGATAGTCCCACCACCCCCCTTCTCACATCTGCGGTCAGGCTATAAACACATGCTGGAACATACACATCTGCGGTCAGGCTATAAACACATGCTGGAACATACACATCTGCGGTCAGGCTATAAACACATGATGGAACATACACATCTGCGGTCAGGCTATAAACACATGCTGGAACATACACATCTGCGGTCAGGCTATAAACACATGCTGGAACATACACATCTGCAGTCAGGCTATAAAACATATGCTGGAACATACACATCTGCGGTCAGGCTATAAACACGTGCTGGAACATACCCATCTGCAGCCAGGCTATAAACATATTTTGAAAATATGAAACAGTGACTAAATTTACATAACCAACTGAACTGTTAGAATGTCTTGATCCTGCTATATTGTAAACAGACATACACATAGACTGACGGAAAGACATAAATTTTATAAACAGAGAAACCCACACATATAGATAGACACATATTGATTGACACAGATAGAAAGACCGGTGACAGAAATAAAGACAGATGCACTGACAGACTGGCAAAGGTCAAAATGGCGGATAAATAGACAGACAGACAGACAGACAGACAGACAGACAGACAGACAGACAGACAGACAGACAGACAGACAGACAGACAGACAGACAGACAGACAGACAGACAGACAGACAGACAGACAGACAGACAGACAGACAGATAGATAGATAGATAGATAGATAGATAGATAGATAGATAGATAGATAGATAGATAGATAGATAGATAGATAGATAGATAGATAGATAGATAGATAGATAGATAGATAGATAGATAGATAGATAGATAGATAGATAGATAGATAGATAGATAGATATAATAGATAGATAGATAGATAGATAGATAGATAGATAGATAGATAGATAGATAGCTAGATAGATAGATAGATAGATAGATAGATAAGATAGATAGATAATAGATGATAGATAGATAGATAGATAGATAGATAGATAGATAGATAGATAGATAGATAGATAGATAGATAGATAGATAGATAGATAGATAGATAGATAGATAGATAGATAGATAGATAGATAGATAGATAGATAGATAGATAGATAGATAGATAGATAGATAGAGATAGATAGATAGATAGATAGATAGATAGATAGATAGATAGATAGATAGATAGATAGATAGATAGATAGATAGATAGATAGATAGATAGATAGATAGATAGATAGATAGATAGATAGATAGATAGATAGATAGATAGATAGATAGATAGATAGATAGATAGATAGATAGATAGATAGATAGATAGATAGATAGATAGATAGATAGATAGATAGATAGATAGATAGATAGATAGATAGATAGATAGATAGATAGATAGATAGATAGATAGATTTATGTAATCTATTGTTTATTTACATCACACATTTTCTGATTTCATACCACATATTTGATGCATTTCTATCACATAGTGTATGTATTTATATCACCTAGTATATGTGCGTAATTCACCTAGTTCATGTCTATATAATACCCTATTTGTGCGCTTATATCACCCAGTTTATAGGTTTATAAATCATCTAGTGTGTGTGGTTGTATCACCCAGTTCTATTGCTTTATACTTCTATCTTCTTTGTCTTCTTTTCACTACTCATGGAATGCCTCGCGGCGTCAGAGAAGAAAGAGATCTATAGAACAGGCCTTTCTGTTCTATTCGTATAGAGTACTTTTCAGTTTCTCTGATATTTCTGAGGTCCATAGTCTGCGTAGTCGACCTCTTGGCCTGTTACCACTGTATCTGTATAACATTGCTCTCTGTGGTGCTCTGTCTGCTTCCAGTCTTGTTACATGTTGTCTACCTATAAAGTTCTGTATTGGTTCTGTGCCGATTCTAGTCCTGATATCATCGTTCCTTATTCGATCTCTTCTTCCTTACACCTAGCATATTATGTAAACATTTATTTCTATCATGACTTTTTTCCTTCTGTCCCTTGAAGACAGTGTTCATGTTTGACACTGACAGCAGAGCGTTAGTATGAGTATTGTGTTAAACAGTGTTCTTTTAGTGTTCATATTCACATGCTTGCATATCAGCATTTTCCAATTTGGCTTAAAACTTTACTGGCTTAATTGCCTCTGTGTTGGATTTTATACTTCCGTCCTCTAAAGATATGCAAAATCTTTCGCCTGCCTTAACTGGTGTTCATCAGTTTTGATATTGGTGGTTCTTCCTTTTCTGGAGAATGTCATCACTTCTGTTTTGTCTACGTTGATCTTCATATCATAGCTGTCGCATTCTGAGTGGAGTCTAAAAATATGTTTTTGTAGTTGTACTGCTGTTGGTGTAATGATTGCCTGCTCGTCGGCGAAAAGCAATTCATTTAGTAATTTTCTAATGTTGTCCCCCTCGCTGATGTTAGTTAATTTGCAAATTTTGTCGACGTATATGAATAACAGTATCGGTGATAGAAAGCACCCATGTCTCAGAATCTAATGTAGAACCTTTCTGACATTCCTGTATTTGTTCCAACCGCGCATTGACTGTTCACATAAACACTCTTGCACAATTCAATAAGATTTTCGTTTACTCCGTAATCCTGTAGTACTTTCCATATTTATTCATGTTAACTCGATTAAAAGCGTTCTCTTGATCTACGAAAACGATATGCAATTCGTTATCGAATTCTACCGTCCTTACTACTATTTGTCTAAGTATGAATATTACATCAGTGCAACTTCTGTTCTGATATCCCATTTGTCCTTCACTAAGCTGGGATTCGATGATAGAACGTAGCCTTTTTTTTTCAAAGATCTTACAAAATGTTTTACGGTGTGGCTCAGTAACGACATTCCTCTATCCTTTTCACAGTCTCTCTTGCTGCCTTTCTTCCTCCAGGTAGGTACTATCATTGCGTTTCTCCAGTCCTCTCGTGTCTCTTGTGCTGTCTAGACTAGGCTTGAACAGTCTCTACATCCATTTTACGCCTACCTCTTATTTTGCTTTGAGTAGTTCAACAAGTATATATATATAATCAGGGTCTGGTGCTTTGTCGAAAGGTTCCCCTTTTACAGCTTTTCTTATTTCTACGAGTGTTATGCCTTGTTCTAAATATTGGTTTGTGTAGTGTTTTGTGTGTGTGTGTGTGTGTGTGTGTGTGTGTGTTTGTGTGGATTGTTCCTCTGATTAAAAGTTAAGTAGATCGTTGAAATGTTGACGCCATATCTCAAGGACCTTTTGTGGTTCATTTAAGGGGACTACTGTCTAATCATTTATAACTTCTGTTGGGCCAAACTGGTCGTTCCTACATCTCATAACTTTAATTTTGCTTACAAAAGATTTTCGTAGCACTTTTGTAGTCAGCGTTCAAAACCATGATGTTTAGCAAAGAAAATAATCAGCTAACAATTAATATCACAGTGAACGGGGTGAAATTGGAACAAGCTAAACATTTCTTATATCTTGGACAAGTAAAAACATGTGACGGCAGAAGTGAAACAGAAGACAAGAAAAGAATAGGGATGGCCAAAAACATTTTCAACAACATGCAAAAGTTACTGACATCAAGAGAAATAAGCAATAAATTAAAAATGAGAATTGTCAAATGTTATGTATTCTCAACCTTACTGTATGGCACAGAGACATGGACAATGAACAAACAACTGGAAAATCGTATCAATTCTTTGGAGATGTGGATATACAGAAGATTAGGTCGTATGTCATGGAAACAAAAGCTATCAAATACAGAGGTACTGAGGAAATTGGGAATGAAAAGAGAGTTGCTAGGGGAAATAAAAAAGAGACAAGTGAAATATTTTGGTCACATTACAAGACATAACAGTATTGTAAAGATCATCCTAGAGGGAAAGGTTCAAGGTAGGCGTGCAAAAGGCAGACATCGTTACAAGTGGGAGGATAACATCAAGAGATGGACGAACAGCAGTATGAGTGAGTGTACATCAAGGGCAAGAGACAGGGCTTGTTGGAGATCTATTGCAGCCAACCTTCATTGTGGAGACGGCACCTGACTGATTGATTGAGTCAGCGTTCAACATTTCTCTGTATTTCTGCCATGATGTTTCTTTTGCGTTTCTGATAACATCTCTCTCAATTGTTCTTGCTGTTCTGTATTTTTTAAGATCATCTAGATTTTTTCTTTTAGCCCACGCCTGGTATCTACATTTCTTCTCCTTCACTGCTGTTTTTTACTTCCTCGTTCAACTAGGTTTTTTTTTTTTAATGGTCTTGTGCTTCTTTTCTTTATTATTCTGCATGTTTCTCTTGTTGCTTCTAAAACTGATCTTTTGAACATTGCCCATTCCGTCTCTACTGATTTAATTTGTTTAGACAGCCATAATTTTTTTTTTTAAGGTATACTTCTTGTGTGTCAGCATTCTTCTAAATTATTGATTTTATATGTTTATTTTGTGGTTGAATGCAGTCCTCTCGTATTCCTACCACTGTTCATCCTCATGGTCAGCAAGATCGCCCTGTGATCACTGTTTGTACATATGTTTGCGATTGCTCTTGCGTCTGTTACCGTTCTTCTCACGTTTCTCTTTGTTATTCTATAGTGTATTTGACTTTACAGTTCAGATCGTTAAATTTATACCACGTAAATATGTGAGACTGTCGGTGTTGGAACAATTTATACCACGTATATATGTGAGACTGTCAGTGTTGGAACAATTTATACCACGTATATATGTGAGACTGTCAGTGTTGGAACAATTTATACCACGTATATATGTGAGACTGTCAGTGTTGGAACAATGTATACCACGTATATATGTGAGACTGTCAGTGTTGAAACAATTTATACCACGTATATATGTGAGACTGTTGGTGTTGGAACAATTTATACCACGTATATATGTGAGACTGTCGGTGTTGAAACAATTTATACCACGTATATATGTGAGACTGTCAGTGTTGGAACAATTTATACCACGTATATATGTGAGACTGTCAGTGTTGGAACAATTTATACCACGTATATATGTGAGACTGTCAGTGTTGGAACAATTTATTCCACGTATATATGTGAGACTGTCAGTGTTGAAACAATTTATACCACGTATATATGTGAGACTGTCGGTGTTGAAACAATTTATACCACGTATATATGTGAGATTGTCAGTGTTGGAACAATTTATTCCACGTATATATTTGAGACTGTCAGTGTTGGAACAATTTATACCACGTATATATGTGAGACTGTCAGTGTTGGAACAATTTATACCACGTATATATGTGAGACTGTCAGTGTTGGAACAATTTATTCCAGGTATATATGTGAGACTGTCAGTGTTGAAACAATTTATACCACGTATATATGTGAGACTGTCAGTGTTGGAACAATTTATACCACGTATATATGTGAGACTGTCAGTGTTGGAACAATTTATACCACGTATATATGTGAGACTGTCAGTGTTGGAACAATTTATACCACGTATATATGTGAGACTGTCAGTGTTGGGAACAGGTCTTAGTTTATGTATAAATCCTGCTGATAACCTAGCTCAAGGAGGCTGCAGCCATTCTTGTTTACCTGTTATCTCCTAATTCTCCAGACCACTCTTCTGCTCCCTTCCAGTGTCCTATACTTGCATTAAAATCATCCATGAGGATTTTTCTTCTTTCTTGATCTTGTTTATTTTGTCATTTATTGTCTCGAAAAACGCTTCGCTTGCTTCGTCATTGTTAGTTGCGTTACACAGAGCATATATTTGAACACAGGTCGTATTTACTCCGTTGTCGCTAATCGTCATTGTTAGTTGCGTTACACAGAGCATATATTTGAACACAGGTCGTATTTACTCCGTTGTCGCTAATCGTCATTGTTAGTTGCGTTACACAGAGCATATATTTGAACACACGTCGTATTTACTCCGTTGTCGCTAATCGTAATTGTTAGTTGCGTTACACAGAGCATTTGAACACAGGTCGTATTTACTCCGCTGTCGCTAATCGTCATTGTTAGTTGCGTTACACAGAGCATATATTTGAACACAGGTCGTATTTACTCCGTTGTTGCTAATCGTCATTGTTAGTTGCGTTACACAGAGCATATATTTGATCACAGGTTGTATTTACTCCGCTGTCGCTAATCGTCATTGTTAGTTGCGTTACACAGAGCATATATTTGAACACAGGTCGTATTTACTCCGTTGTCGCTAATCGTCATTGTTAGTTGCGTTACACAGAGCATATATTTGAACACAGGTCGTATTTACTCCGTTGTCGCTAATCGTCATTGTTAGTTGCGTTACACAGAGCATATATTTGAACACACGTCGTATTTACTCCGTTGTCGCTAATCGTAATTGTTAGTTGCGTTACACAGAGCATTTGAACACAGGTCGTATTTACTCCGCTGTCGCTAATCGTCATTGTTAGTTGCGTTACACAGAGCATATATTTGAACACAGGTCGTATTTACTCCGTTGTTGCTAATCGTCATTGTTAGTTGCGTTACACAGAGCATATATTTGATCACAGGTTGTATTTACTCCGCTGTCGCTAATCGTCATTGTTAGTTGCGTTACACAGAGCATATATTTGAACACAGGTCGTATTTACTCCGTTGTTGCTAATCGTCATTGTTAGTTGCGTTACACAGAGCATATATTTGAACACAGGTCGTATTTACTCCGCTGTCGCTAATCGTCATTGTTAGTTGCGTTACACAGAGCATATATTTGAACACAGGTCGTATTTACTCCGTTGTTGCTAATCGTCATTGTTAGTTGCGTTACACAGAGCATATATTTGAACACACGTCGTATTTACTCCGTTGTCGCTAATCGTAATTGTTAGTTGCGTTACACAGAGCATATATTTGAACACAGGTCGTATTTACTCCGTTGTCACTAATCGTCATTGTTATGATTCTTTCTGAGATGTAGTCAGTGTTCATGATTGTTGAAGCTAACATGGGGTCTAGTATGATTCCAACCCGCGTTTTGCCATTTTGTTCACCTCTAGTCCTGGATAAACGAACACAATGTCTAGATGCACTTTCTTACAACCTATTCCTTTAGTTTTTGTGTCTGCTTGTCCTAATATTGATATTTTGCGTTTTCTCATTTTTCTATGATGTTCTCTACTTTGTTCTTAACTCCGCATATATTGATAGTGCAAATTTTTTTTAATACTCTTGGGTACGGTCCCTTTTCTTCTAGTCGGTTCGTGGGATCTCTTCATTTTCTACGACTACAAGTAAGCCACTGTCGGTTTGCTAGACTAATCACAGTGTTTACAAACTTCCTGGAAGGTCACACTTGAACTAGACTATCACATTCAGACTAGTCTACAGACGACTTCCACTCTAGGATGTCCGAGACTGACCCCGGTTAGATGCTGGCCGAAAAAATAACATCTCCTTGCCACGCCATCTTGACCTTTTATATCATACAGTTTATATATTTATATATCACGTACTTTTGAGTTAATAATTTAATCTTTAAACGCACTTAAATCACGTAGTTTGTGCATTTAGATTTGGCAGCTTGTATGTCTATTTCACGGGGTCTGTGACTGAGTGACACACAGTTTGTGGTAATGCATCACATACTATGTGTCTGTGATTTTTCGTGTGTATGTGTGTGTGTGTGTGTGTTCGTGTGTGTGTGTGTGTGTTTCGAGGGCGTCTCTATTACAGCTTGTTTCCCTATTTCAAATGCTTTGATTTGCGACTGTCTAGATGAGACTGACACTACACACACCAACACAACACCTGCCTCCTCATGTATTAATTCTTTCTACTCTTTACATCTCCTTACAATTTGTTAGCACTTATTGTTTCTCTATTCTGTTAGGTGCCATCGTTGGACTGTCTTTCTTTGGACCAGCACTGGCATTCGCCCTGGGGTCAGTCTTCAGTGGAATGTATATTACTTTGGAAGGTAAATAATAGATGTGGCAGGTGAGCAAAGAATTGCTGATAAATGCACAAATATTAGTTGATAAATTATCAAATTAAGCTGGCAAAACAACATAACACATTATTCGATAAAATACTTTTTTTTTTTTTTTTGCGTGTACTGCAATTACCTCACAAATTGATATAATATTGGTTTTGCGTGTACTGCAATTACCTCACATATTGATATAATATTGGTTTTGCGTGTACTGCAATGACCTCACACATTGATATAACAATTGGTTGTAGTTTGCTGGCTGGGGTTTGATCTGATGTCAAGTAAGATGCAAAAATAATACTATGATCTCTTTTTAAGAGTGTCCATGTCTGATATCGGCGTCTGTGGCTTAAGCGCACTTCCTAATGATGGGGTGCCGAGTTCAATCCTAGGTGCAGGCCGTTTAGCAGCAGAACGTCTTGCGTACGTTTCGACAATGGTACCTCGAGCTGACCGTTCATTAAGCAATGGCAAACTACTAAACATAAAATATGCCTAGAAAAACTACACCACCCCCTCTTTCCCCCCCCCTCCCCCATTCCCCAAATAATGGTATTTGTTCTGTAAAGTCATGTAAAGGATACGCGACTAACATTTACTATGTCTGATGTGAGATACAATGATGATACCAAAATCTGTAATACGGGTCTCAGTGTGATTTTCAAATTATACTAATTCTGGTTTGTGAATGAGTGCGTGTTTGTGTATGTTTGATTTCCTGTCAGATACAATGGTACCAAACTGTATTAATTATAGTGTGTGAATTTGTGAATGTGTATGCGTATGTGTGATTTCCTTGAGATACAACGATTATACTAAATCTTTTAGAACGGACTCCGTGTCTGATGGCATGTAGTACATCATGGTAGTGAAAGTATCATACAGTACGATAGTATGTGCATGATGTCTTTTTTTGATGTCATTTCGACACCAGCAGGACTTAGCACAGCAAACTATATTTTGTCCCGAAGAATATCATGCTGATAACAATGACATTTAGTCCTGGGATCAGATTATAATACACCGTAGGATACCACGATGAAAGGATCACTTTCACATTATGAGTTAATGACATCTACGATTGTCAGCTTGGTGCAGATACACTTTAGGCACAGCTTGTTGACGGAGCATTTTCAAGGGATCAAGTTTTCCCATGAGAGAAATTGTGGTGTAGTGGCTCAAGGCTTACCTGTCGGTCCCATGTCATGGATTCAATGATCTGGTCAACCCAGGTTAAAATAGGCATCAGGCAACATCAGAAGTAAACTCGTATTGGGACTTTATACAGGTTTTTCTGTAATGAAATTATGTTCTCATCCTCAGAAACGAACATGACCCCATATGACCCTAGATTTCTGGGTGCCTGGTGGCTGGGGTTTGTTATCTTCGGAGCTGCAGGGATCGTTGTTGGTCTTCCAATGATCTTTTTCCCGAAGCGCATGCGCAAACGAGTGGAACTGAAGGAAGTGAAACACAAGAAAGACCCAAATGTGAGTGGAATTAGAAGACTTTGGATCGATCTCAAAGGTAAACATACTTCAGGAATTCGTATGCAGACTAAACATAATTTTTAGTCAAGAATGTATCTTATATTTCCACTTATGTCTATACTAGACCCTCTGGCAGGGTCGCTGACACAAACAGGAACATTTAAAAAAAAAGGAAAATTTAAGAAACAAAAAGGGGAGAGTGAGGGGAGATTGAAGGGAGTGTGAGGGAAGAGTGAGGGAGAGTGAGGGGACAGTGAGGTGAGAGTGAAGGGAGAGTGAGCGGAGAGTGAGGGGAGAGTGAGGGTAGAGGCTCAGACTCCTAATTATTTTATAGGGGGGGGGGGGTGAGGGTTGTGGCCACATGACCAATATGCCTTGTTTAAGTGCACTATAACATTGTTATCATTATTATTTACTGTTATGAATGACAAAATATATAAATACATTTTGTGGTGAAATAATAGGAAACACACAAGCAAATAGCTAAAACAAAAACTTCTACCCCTTTCCCCTTAGTTTGTTCACCAGTTGTTCAAATGGGACAGTGAGAGCCATTTAATTTAATTTTCACTAGCAAAGAACGCAGTATGTATGCACTGAATTTGTACCATGACTACGAAAACAACTACGACCGTTATGAGGGTCAACGGTTTCCAAACTACAGCCAGGAGAGTTGGCTTAAACCGTCTTATAAAAGATATAAGGACTACTCACGTTTTATGACATCGAATTTTTTATTGCCGTTAATGATAAAAATAGATAACGCAAAAGGACACTAACAAACACTCGAAGACATATTGGGCATGAAATTCTAGACCTAAATTTTATGGATCATCACGCAGGCCAACTTTGCCCGGTAGCCATTTAAGGCTGGGTCGACCTGGAAGCCAAGGTCGATTTTAAAAACCTGGCTTCTTCGGATTTGAACTCAGGATCTTCGGATCGAAAGGTCAGTCTCTAGCCGCTGCAGGTCGGCGGCTTCAATAAAATAATTGATACACCAACTTGTGTTTTCTTTTAAAAGACATGACTGTGTGCCACTGATTGTGTGCATCTTAAGTGTAAAACATTCCTTTGTTTATGAGAAGTTCAGGATTATACTTCAAAACTTAAACATTAACTCAGTGACTCCATCTTGGTATCGAATAGACAATGGTAGTAGAAATACCTGAATGACAATAATGATCGATCCAAGGAGAGAATGGATAAAGCTAATGATCAGTCTCTGGTTCATCAAATTATTCAGCCCCTCTGTCTTCTGCCCGCCTACCTGCCTGTATGTCTGTCTGTCTGTATGCCTGCCTTCTTGCCTGTCTGTCTATCGGTCTATGCCACAATATTGCGTATCTTTTATGTAACGTCTATACACAAATCTAGGCCGTGACTGATATTATAATATTTAAGCCGCTTAAAATTTTCTTTGAGTAAGATTTTGTATGTCATATCATTCACTCATAACGTCATTTTGTTGATAGCAAGTTTGCGTCTGTGGATTCACTCGCAATCATAAAACGCGGTGATTTTTAAACTGTTGAAATGTTACAGGAAGAATATTCTTACTATCGTGGACCAAGAGAGAGAGAGAGAGAGAGAGAGAGAGAGAGAGAGAGAGAGAGAGAGAGAGAGAGAGAGAGAGAGAGAGAGAGAGAGAGAGACAGAGAGAGACAGATACAGAGAGAGAGAGATTGTTAATCTTTGTGATCTAAATATCCAAAGCTACTGGCTCATAAACAGTTTAGTTTCTCGTGAACTGAAATATTTTTTACCAAATTACATACTGTAATGGTTTGGAGTGAGCAGTATTGCACGGTCTTGGTCTTAGAAGAAGAATGAGATGTCGAACAGGACGACGATGGAAACAAGATTATAAGCAACATTTTGCATGAGGGTTCACACGAAAGAACAGCTAAACCGAAAGGCTTTTCAAAATTCCATGATCGGAGAGGGCTTCTTCGAAGTATGCAGTACATTTTACGACACCAGGACATAATGCCGAGCGATAAACACCCAGTGACACAAAGTTCCACTATGCGGATGAGGATCACCTGTGGAGAGGTCCCAGAAACCGCGTTCAACCTTTAGGTTATATTACGGCCCCAGGCTTTAAAAAAAAACGAAATTTTTTTGACAGATGAGGAAGACGCATTATACGTACAACGTGATAATCATGATGATGATGATGACGACGTTCAGGTTTGTCCTGAAATTGTTGTGACATAATTACAAGTCGATGTTTACCTGCTGTATGATAATGAAACGCATGATGTATTCTTATAAACTAGGGCTGTTGAAAGCGATGCTGCACCTGGCCTCCAATCCCGTCTATGTGTGTCTGACACTGGCCAGCAGTGTCAATCTCATGGGAGCCAGTGGCATGATGTCGTTCTTCAACAAATACCTGGAGACACAATTTACTGTTTTGCCATCACAGTCCAGCTTAACGATAGGTATGATATAGCATATCCGATTTTGGGAATCATTTCTGAACTAAGCAACTCTCTACTGGTTGATTAGATAAATCTTAGTTGACTAACAAACTTTCATATTTACCAGCAAATTATTGGACGGACGATCTTCACTGAAAAATCAGATCATTCAGACCAGAAGGCACGGGTCCAGCCCTCAGTTTATATCACTGAGTCTGCTGAAGACGAGATCATGCCTTTGCTGGCTTACTTGTCTTCGATCTAGTCTAGAGCTGGTATCAAGAAATGCTATAAGAAGTGAAGATGGCCGGAGTGATGTTGACGACATCAACCCTAGAGTGCCGACTGGTCCAGACGAATAGGAATCTAGTGTCACAAGCTGTAGCATCTTTGCTTGCTGCAAAATGCTCTAGCTGGTGTCTTAGTGACCCTTTTCTCTGTATGTTTATTCATTGGGTATACGGTGCCAGACCCATGTTTTCATATAATGTTCACTTCAAGATGGGTGATGTCATCATCTGGGCGATGCTTTTACTCATCCATTCTCACAACTGGGAGCTTCTAATCGTGTCTGTGAAGATATGGCCGTGGCTTCATTACAGGCTCTGCGAGTGCAGTTTCTACTGATTTCGCTGGGCGTCATCGTACTTAGTACGACGTGATCAGTAATTTGTTACTGATCACGTGGTAACAACTCAAGCCATATAGATAATGAAGTAGATCCTCTAGACTGTTCACCTTTTTTAAAACTAGTAAGTCCTGACTGTTGCATATAATCTGTTTCCTTTTTGTAGTTTTTCCCTTGCATTTTTTTTTAAAATTCTCTTTAAATAAATGTCTCTTTAAATATGTACAACATTTGGCAGTTTACACTTCTAACATTATCACAAACTAGCTGTACCAAGCGAGCGTTGCTGCGACTCACTCTGGTGAGACGACAAAAAAAAAAAAGCTCAACCTTCTAACATGTTTATTTTCACAATGTTTATGGCTATACAGTATATTTTGTTTTTCCATTGTATGCGCAGATATAGAGACTGTGTGGTTTGCCGACTCTAAAACACGCAACATATAATTGCCCATGCAAGAAGCAGTCCGTATCTAGATCTAAACCGCACAATTTTGAAGATTGGCCCTAAGCTTTCCACCTCCACACCTGCATCTGAATCTGATTTTAGGAAACAAAAATTTCAAGCTTAGTCCTCTTTAACTTAAGCCGCACGAGGGCCTACTATATAGGGGACTGGTTCTTGGCTATCTTAGCTTGAGTTCAGTTTCTTTGTGGCGAAAATGATTTCGCCTGAGTTTCGATTCTCTGCTTCAACATGTCTGCGTGATTTCGCTTGGCGGGTTTTTGGCTTCAGATTGGCAGTTTCCAGTTTTTGGGATTGGATCTTGCAGCCCCAAAAAGGACTGCTAGTTTTACATCGGCCGGCCTGAAAAGTATGGGTGGGATCTCCTGTAGGTCCGGTGCGTCTTCTGATGGCACCTCTGGTCGGTGATCTGGCTTCTAGGCTGTCTGGTTTTCGGATTGGTAACATTTGGTCTCTGTTTCCTGAGTTTTGGTAAGGCAGTCTGCTAGCTGGAACAGGTAAGTCAACCATCTGTGAGGCTGGTGCTGGCTATCCAGAAAATGGGCATGCGGCTTCTAGTGCTGTCTCGCTTGTTCTGTTTGGGCCTTAGCGGTGTGTTTCACTCATCCAGCTTCTCTGCTTCATCTTTGGTTGTTTGGTTCAGTGCCTCTTGTCGTTTTTTATCTGTTAGTTTTTGGTAGACTGTGTCCATTTCTTTGCATAGTACGTAGTCTATATCACGTCTTGCTCTGAGTTCAGTAATTGAATAGGCTTAGCTCTTCTTCCTGATTTCCTTGTCTAAGACTAGGTACACTGAGAATCCTTTTGTCTTCAGGCTGTGTTGAAACATCTTTTTGTTCACGCTTCGGAGCATTGCTTGCTCTCAAGGCTTTCGCCAGCAGTTACCGCTTATGTTTCTGAGTCTGTGATTTCGGTTTCAGTTTCAGTAGCCTTTGTCCACTTTGAGTATCTGCGCTGGTATTTCCGTCACTATGTATGTGTCAGCCCTGCTGACATTCGATTTCTTAGAAGATTTGCTGACTAACCCTCTTTATCTCCATAGCAGGTCAGGTTCCGTTTTGGCTGCTTGTGCTGCTGCCTCAGCCTTGGACTTTGCCTGCACCAGCTGGGCTATTTCGCGATATGAGGCTTTTCGTCCTGTTTTTAGCTCGGCGAGCTCCGTCTTTCTCTCCTCTATTTCCGACTGGTGGCGTATTTCCTCGTCTGCCTTAAGATTTAAGACTGGTTATGAGATCTCAGCTCTTTTCTTGCTTTTCTGCGGCTTCTACCTGTTTGTTTGCTTGCTGGGTAGCATGTGCCAGCTTGTTTCGCTTCACGTCTTTGATTTTTCCTAGCGAAAAGGAGGTCAGGTTCTAGCGTCTCAGTTCTTTCAGCTGCAGCCGCGACTTTCTCTTTTCGCTTGCCGCGATTTCGGTTCTTAGTTCATTCTCGGCCTTCTCTATTTATAGGCCAACTGGGTCAACAGGGATTCCCGTTCTTGTGCAAGAATGGAGTATCTCTGTATTAACAGTTTTTAT